AGGTAAGTTTTTTTCCATTATTTTTTCAAATAGATTTACGATTTCTTGCTCTTCCTCTTCTCCTTCTGGCACCCTTATCATGTGAGTGTTGGACTTCTTGAAGTTATCCCAGAGGCTGCTTATATTATCCTCATTTTTTTTGGATTATTTTTTCTGTTTGTTCTGATTGGTTTTTTTTTTTTTTTGCTTCCTTATGTTCCAAATCATTAATCTGATTCTCATCTTCATCCACTGTACTATAAATTGTTCTTTATTTCAATTAGTGTATCCTTCATTTTTGACTGGAAATTTTTTATGGGGTTGAGAGCCTCACTAAATTCTTTAGCATCCTTATAACCAGGGTTTTGAACTTTGCATCTGATAGATTGTTTTCTCCATTTTGTTTAGCTATTTTTCTGGAGTTTTGATCTATCCTTTCATTTGAGCCATGTTTATTTGTCTTCTCATTTTGGCAGCCTCCCTGTATTTGTTTCTATGTATTAGGTAGAGCTGCTATGACTCCATGTCTTGATAGTGTGGCCTAATGTAATAGGTGTCCTGTAAGGTCCAGTGGCACTGCCTCCCCTATCACCCAAGCTGGATACTCAAGGTATGTCCTTTGTGTGGGTCGAGTAAACCCTCCTCTTGTAGTGAGCCTTGGTTGTTGTTGGCAAACCAATGGGAGGGATTTACCCAGGCCAGTCAGCTGCAAGGACTGTCTGTGACCACTTACCATCAACCTCCACTCTCCTTGGAGGATCAGCTGTGCAGGGGCAGGGTAGTGGTGCTATGATGTGGTCTGTAGCTGTCCACCGGGTGCACTGGCCCTGGGATTTCCTGGGCAGTACAGGCCAAGGTCAGCCCCAACCTGCATTTTGCCTGACACAACCCTGCCTGAGCTACGAAGCAATCTGAGGTGGCTGCTACATGTGCTGGGCTTGAAGATTTCCCAGGAGAAGCCAAGCTGTGAATCTAGGCTGACTGCTGCTAGTGCCAAGCCTGGGGCTCACTGAGGCCAGCTGTTGCTTGTGTGAGAGGATCTAGCAAGTTTTGCAGTATGAGCGAGACCAGCCATTCATGTGGAAAACCAGCTTTGGTAGGACCATAAGCTGGGTGAGGCAGAGTCTTGGGGGATCTCTAAGGTGGGTCAAACAGTGTTAGCCTTGTTGATGGAGTCTCAGACATGGTACTAGCTTACTGTCTTTGTGGCTTTGTTGGGGGGAGGGTTTAGAAAAGGGACAATGGTCTCTGCCCATCCCAATGCCAGACACTTTGGTTTCTCCCAATATGCCACTGGTGTCTTTCATGCTGCTACCCTAGTGCTGGAGCTCAGAGGGAGTGAGTCTGAGAAGGTGAGACTGTGTGTGGGTTCTTTAAGAGGAACTGCTTGGGGCTCCAGAAGTTTCTTCCACCGACTCAATCCCCACTGGTTTGGGCAGCCAGAAGTTGTGGGGACTTTTCTTCCTGGCTCTGGAACCCTAGGCTGGGGGGCCTGGTGTGTGGCTGGGACTCCTTGTTCCTGAGCTATCCCTTCTGAATTTTTATGTACCACACATGGGTATGGGACCAGCCCATTCTGCACCTGCACCAGACTCCTCCAGTCTGGATGGATGTAGTTTCTTCACCTCCATAGCTGCCAGACTTCTATTCAACTCAATTTCTGACGGTTTTGGTGATGGTTATTCTATATTTTAGTTGTAATTTTTTTGTGGTTGTGTGAAGAAGTGAACCATGTCTGCCTACACCGCCATCTTGACTGGAAGAAAAAAGTGCCTGTTTCTAGGAAATGAAAGAAAATAACCTCTTCCATTCCCTTCAGATTCAGATTCAGAGCCAAAACAGATGAATTTGATTGTGCTGGGTTCCTAATGGGACTGGTCATCTCTGTTTGGAGTAGAGGTGCAAGCTCAAAGTTGAGAGGCTCAGTTCAGAATCAGGGGAGCAACATTAAACATCAGATCCAAGGTATGAGTTTGGGATAGACAAGAGAAGGATAAGAGGTCAGGAGCCCAGGAATACTCAACCAGTGCAGAAGCAAACTATTAGACCGGATAAGTCAGAGGTTGTGAGTGTAGCAAAAAAAAAAAAAAAAATCTCAGTGAAAGACAAATACTTATAAGAGGAATCTAATGAACAAAATAAATTAACAAACAAGATAGAACCACAGGCATGGAAACATGGAACAGACTGAGAGTGGTGTATGGAGGGGAGGGAATAATGGTGGGAAGAAAGGAAAGGGACAAGTTCAAGAACAGGTATGAATGACCCATGGACCCCAGGCCACAGGGTGGGAGGGGCGGAGGAGGGCAAAGCGGGGGAGTTGGGACCACTGTAACAGAATAACGATGAAAAGTCTTTAGGAAAAGAATAAAATAAAAATTCTAAAGAACAACAACAAAAAAATAATCTTAGCTCTCTCTTGCTGGTGGGCAGGGCTGCCTTGCCTGGTTTTAAAGATACTGGGCAGGGACAGATTTTTTCCCTCAGTTTTGTGAAAGGTCATAAAGTACTATATTTTTGTTTTAAGTTCAAACAAATAGAAAACTTAATGGTTTAGTAAAAATGTTGAAATTGGGGAGGAAGAACTATTCCAAATGAAATGAAAAATCATGGAAATATTATTTTGCCAACATTAGATATGTATTTTCTTTCAAAATACAGAGACAGTGTTTTGCATCAATTGATGATTTAATTTTCCTATCCAAATGCCATTTGCCTGTGGCGCCTCCTTCTGCCTCGGGTGCTGGGCATGCGCCTCAGAGCCACCTAGCTTAGAACAGGTGCTGGTGGGGCTGCTGACGTCTCCTCCTTCTGACCGTTGGCTGCTTTCACTTTCAGTTTTGACACTACCTTATTTTACCTTAATAACATTTTCTGTAAATGTTAACAAATAATCTAGAAACTATAATGTCCTTTTACAGGATTTTCAAAAATGATGAATTTCCTAGACTTAAAAAAAATTGCCATATAACCATAGGATGGGATGGTGAAATTAAAGTCATATTGAAAACAAAGACCCATTTGTTTCTGAAAAAAAGAAAGCTAGTCATATTTAAGTCCCTTTCAGCTTGCTTCCAATGACGTCTTCTTCTAGATTACAGAAGTAACCAATTACTCTCATCCACCTTTTCCCGTATACCTGGAAGTTAACTTAATTTTTTTTTAAATTATAAATTAGCTCTTGTTTTGAGTGTTTATTTATTTACAACTATTTTAATCCTAGATTACTTAATTATAACTCTTCTTAAACTCACCTATGTATTTAAAACATACTCTCCCTGTATATCCAGCCATAGTACAGATTGTTTTGTTTCTCAATTTACATTAGCAATTGACTGGATAGCAATTATTGAATCAATATACAGCAGTTTCAATCCCTATCAAATGTTGCCAGTGCCAGATCCAAACTGCCAGTTCTGCAGATTTAGAAAGTGCTCACATTTTCTTCCCATAGAATCTACTAAAGATAACTATATCAGACAGTTCCAGATTAAATTAAACACGCCATTCTGTATTTTTGGGTTATCTTTCATTGTTTGGAAAAAATCATAATTCTGAGGAGTTATCTGTTCCAAATCTTAAACGTTATGATTTGCAAGGCATCAAAGTATTTTTCAAAATATTTTCTCTAACAACCTACTGTGCTGCCTGAAACCCATATTCTTATGATTTCTATGGGCCATTTAATGCTAGACATATAGACGTAGATACAGATGATAGTTAGATATGGATATATACAAGTAGAGGTAAATATAGATTCAGGTAAATATGGAGTGTAGACGTTGATAAATATTGCATCAGTGAAAAAAAAAACCGCTTCCAAAAGCTTGTTAGACAAAAGCCATGCGGTGATAGACGATAAACTTAGAGGGCTGTGGGTGGGTTTTTGTGTGCATGTGTGTGCATATGTGTGTGCGTGTGTGCGTGTGGGCGGAGGGAGTAAAGACCCCGGAAGAGGCGCACCCCAAGGAATGTCAATCAGGAGTGGGGCGCCGAGGTGGCAGGGAGCCTGAGGGACAGGTGGAGAATGACAGCATCTGCCCTTTCCGATGCATGGAAAGTCCAGGGTTCATTAATTTAATTTTACCTGTTTAGTCAGTCATGCCCAAGAATTAAAGGAGGCGTTAAAAAATAAAATAAAATTTGAAATAATTTATCTTTATTGGGTCCAATAATGTTTTAAATGGCGTTCTGTACTTACAGGTAAGCCATGCACATGTTCATGGCTACATTTATGGAGTTTTAATATTTGTAACTGCGAAAAATAAACAGCTTGTCCTCGTTCTTCCTAGGAAGAAATTCTTTTAAATTTGGAAGCCAACTCCAGAAAGAGATGTTGAGAGGAAATATCTGTGAAGAAAATGGCCAATTAGTTAATTTTTTCAATGCTCTCACGTGTGTTAACTTGTAGCCTTACCTAGGTTGACAAGTGCCCAAGTGCACGTTCAGAAATAATGTTAAATATCTCAGCATTGGACTGTCCTTTTTCCTTATTTCCCTTTTCTTCTACCCTGTGACCTCTTGTGTTTTCCAAAGTATATGAGTTAACAGGTCTCATACTGATCATCTGCCTGTGAAAAGGCCTGCTTCTTTTTTTTTTTTTTTTTTTTTTTTAATCGAAACCTTTCAGGATTCAAATCAACCCAAAATGAAGAACAGGGGCAACATTATAGACAAAGTATTTAGGAACTGGTGGGTGCCCTTAGATCCTATTTTTGAAGGGTCACTGTATGGAAAACCAATCCAAAAAAAATACATTAAATTGTTTATAGAAGTAAAAGATGATCATTTGAATTTTAAAGCACTATCAGAAGGAATTTTTATCACTTTACAACTAATTTACTCACTGTACTATGCCAGGCTATAAAAAGAACCTTCTTAAAATATGAGGATGAACTTGGTAAATATTGCCTAGTATTTCCTTTGGCTCCTTTCAGGGAGCAATGCAGACATTGCAAGAGGGAAGTTGGGGAGCACAAGGGACTGAAATGTAACCACCCTGTGCCTTGTCATTCTTCTAGGATCTCACGATTCCTTCAGTTTCTACATTGACGAAGCTTCTCCAGTTGGCCCTGAACAGCCAGAAACTGTCCAGAATTTTGTCTCTGTTTTTGGAACTGTGGCCAAAAAGCTGATGCGGAAATGGTTAGCCACTCAGACGATGAACTTCACGGGTCAGCTAGGGGCTGGGATCCGTTATTTCGATCTTCGAATTTCCACCAAGCCCAGAGACCCCGACAATGAACTCTACTTTGCTCATGGCTTGTTTAGCGCCAAAGTCAATGAGGGCCTTGAGGAAATCAATGCGTTCCTCACAGATCACCATAAGGAGGTAGTGTTCTTGGACTTCAACCATTTTTATGGGATGCAGAAATATCACCATGAAAAATTGGTCCAGATGCTGAAAGACATTTATGGCAATAAAATGTGCCCGGCGATTTTCGCACAGGAAGTCAGTCTCAAGTACCTGTGGGAGAAGGACTACCAAGTGCTGGTCTTCTACCACAGCCCCGTGGCTCTGGAGGTGCCCTTCCTCTGGCCTGGGCAGATGATGCCCGCCCCCTGGGCCAACACCACAGACCCGGAAAAACTGATTCAGTTCCTGCAGGCGTCCATCACGGAGAGAAGAAAGAAGGGCTCGTTTTTTATATCTCAGGTGGTGCTGACCCCCAAAGCTAGCACTGTGGTGAAAGGGGTGGCCAGTGGCCTCAGAGAAACAATCACAGAAAGGTGAGTGCCTTTAAAACATTGCTGGGTCGGGGGAGGTTAAACATATGAGCCCGCATTCATGGATCCTGTGGGTGCTAGAGCTAAAATTCATACTCATGTCTATTAGTTTCCCAGGGCTGCCATGACAAAGCACCACAAACTAAGTGGCTTAAAATGAAAGATAGTTATTGTCTGTGAGGTCCAGAAGTTGGAATTCTGAAATCAAGGTGTCAGCAGGTTTAATTCCCTCTGAGGGCTTTGAGGGGCAGTCTTTTCCATACCTCTCCCCTCCCTTCTGGGGACAGTTGGCCATCCTTGGTGTTCCTTGGCTTGTAGGTGCGTCACTTCAGTCTCGGCCTCCGTTTTCACCTGGCGTTCTTTCCGGGTGTCTCTCTTCCCTTCTCCTCAGGATGCCAGTCATACTGTGTTAACGTCTACTCCAATGCTCTCATCTTCACTTGCTTACATCTGCAAACACCCTGTTTCCAAATAAGGCTACACGTACAAGTTTGTGGAATTAGGACTTCAGTATATCTTTATAGGACAAAGATCAACCCATGGCACCGTGTGTTTTGACTCCATGTCCAGTTCTCTTTTCATAGCACACTTTTCACACTTGTGCAGCAATCTATAGATTACAAAGCCCTTTCTCTATTGTTTGCAGAGTCTTTTTACATATTTAGTTACATTGGATCTATATAACAGCCCTGGGAAGTAGATACTCTCTTACTGATAAAAATTGAGGTTCATAGAAGAAGTAGGTTTTGTTTAAGCTCACTTGGACAATGAGTGATGAAACAAAGCCTCAAGCCATATTCTATGCCTTTACACTACACCATAAGCAAGGATCGGCTTCCAGAGAGTGGGCTTCCCATTGTCAAGTCCAGCTGGGCATGTGAAGTATAATTATACCTGCAATCACCAAAGATCTCTGTGGCTCTTTCCCATGAGTGCGATTGAACATGAAAACGTGTATATATTATTTATTCTTTTGACTTAAAGTATGAAACAATGCAAATAGCATCTGAAGATAAAAGACAAGTTCTATCAGAACTTTTATCTTTAACTTTGATACTTTGAATTATGGTAAGGGGACAAAGCACAAATGCTTTGCTTGGACTCAAGGTCATTGTAGGAAAAGACTAGAAGATGAGGAGAAAAGATTTGTAGGTGAATATAGTCCATGTGGCCTTACAGCACAGCATGTAGGGTGGGAATTTGTGGGAGTTGAGGCTTGTAGTGGGGCAGAAACACACTTGCAAGAACACTTCTAGCCAAGCGGCAGGGAACTTGATCCTGTGAGCAAGGGGAAGGCACTCGTAGAATGATTTAATCAGGTCTGCCTTTAGATCAGTAACTGGCACAGCTTGGAGGGTGGACATGGAGAGAGGGAGCAGGTAGGAGGTGCTTAGAACTGTTTGAGCGAAGTAATGCAAGCTAAACCGAGGAAGTGAGTAAAGGGCAAGGCAGTTTATGCAAACAGCAATATTAGGATGATTCAGTAGCTATTAAGCTATGTGGTGTGAACCGGAGGAAAGATCTGAGGACAAGATTTCTTCCCGAGAAGCAGCAGGGGTGATAAAGACATCCACAGAGGCAGGAAACAAAGACATGGGGATTGGAGGAGGACCTTGGGAAGATATTGTCAAGGTCGCTAGATTGAAAATGCTGGTAAGGCATTCGAGTTTATGTGGCCAGTTGACCGTAGGAATACAGGCCAGCTCCTTTGGCGGTTATTGGCACTTTTTTGGCAGTCAAAGTCACGAGACATTGCAGTGGAAAGTTTCCTCCATAGAAAATCCTAACTTCCTTCTGTTATTCAGATATTAACTTGGCCCTCCCTGTTTCTTAAGATCTAATTAAGTCTCCTAACCCTTCACTGGGCACCCTACGCAAGTATAAGACCTTCCCTGAGATTTCTTACATCCATGTGGTATGAGTTCCTGCTGCCTCTGGGATACATACATCATATTATGCATTGCTTGTCCCACGTGGCGTTTCCATATCCCGCTCTGTGTAACCTGAGTCATGCAACTTGCTTCTCACCTAAATTCCATGTGGTTCTGAGATTTTACTGAGGACCCAAGGAGACTGGGGATGATTTAGCATCTGAACAATGCAGATAATTTAAAATTGAATTTTAGACTTGTTTGTAATTACATATCTTCAGCCTAGATGACCTTCCCCTGACCGCATCTATACGACTTTTCTTCCCAGCTCCCATTCCTTCACCTCCTTCTCCTTCTCTTTTTCTCATCTCTTTTCTTCCCCTACCCTACATGGCCTTGAAGACCCCAAACTCTTCCCTAAGTTATGACACCAAACTCTTCACCTCTTTCCTGGCCCCACGCCTTCGCTCAGCTAGTCTCACCAAAGTTTTCGGTAGAATACAAAGGCTTTGAGCACCTTTTTGTACTAAAGTTAATTGTCCTAGCAAATAACAACTTACCACTTCTCTTATACACTTAAAAATGAGGGAGTTATATTATATACACATAAGAATGTGTTGTTTTCAACATTACCCCATAGGGCTCCCAGATTTTGAGGAATCCCTGAGGGTTCACCAGAGGAGGAAAAGAGGCAGGCGGGGCTTGGGGAGCAGCCAGCTCCCACTTCCTCCATTCTCTCTAAACCTGGAAGGGAAGCAGCAGCTTTTCTAATGTTTGCAGACTGAGCATGAAAGGGGTGTTCCTGGGCCCCTCCGGCTTCACTTTGTTGCTCTTAGAAAACACACCTTTTCATACAACATGCCTGCTTTGCACTTGACTAAGAGCCAAACCCTGATTTTACCGGTGTAGGGAATAGCCTTTGGGAAGTTAAGGAAAATCTACCTAAGGAATAAACAACTCTCACTTTTCTCTCTTAATGGCATTTCATGAAGTTTAGGACTTTGCAAGTTATAAGATGAACTGCTTTTTGGTTATATGTGCTCTAGTACAATGCTAAGGATGATCTGAGGGGGAAATATCAAATAAGTTAGGAGAGTACGTGAAATGTTTCTATGTGTTATAGCCACACAGTTCTCCCGAGATTCACAATTCGTATTAGCATATAAAAGGCACTAACAAGGGTTTTAGTGGTGAATCTTGTTTAATGATAACTAATGCAGTATTTTCTAAACACTTATTCTTTTTTGAGGCCACACTTATTAACAGCCCATGAAACCTATTTTTAAAAACTGCCTTAGCCATCAGCTCAAACTCAGAACTTCTCACTTGCCTCTGGCTTTTATGACTGGAATAATAGAGCTGTATCATTGAAAAGAGAAAGAGAAGTGGGTGAGGAAAGAATTTAAAAAATAGAAACAAAGAGTTTATACAGGAAGAATCAACTTTTTTTCTGTCCAGGGTTATAAAAAATACTTGCAACTGTATGTAGACACAGCCATGATACTTGTGCTGTAAGTGTTCTCAACGGAGTTCAGCCTCAGAAAAACTAGAAAGACCTCTTTTTAAACCAGTCGCAAAGCCTCTGGGGTTAATGTGAAACTCGGAGGTTTGGTTTTGTCTTGTTTTCCTGCATTTCAGCTTTCTGGAGGGGGCCTCTAGGGGGAAGTCATTGTCAGCAGTTGGTGGCATGGCGCCTTGCGAGGTGACTGTCATACCTCAGGCAGTCAGTGAATGAACCCTTGACTCCCCAGGAACACATCCCCTCACTTTCCCCCTCAAGTGAAAACGCCTGCGAGGAGACTCTGCCTCCTGGGGCTGCACTAAGCCGCTCGCTCCAGAATCCCACGTGAGCACCGCAAGATGTGACGGCCTCCCCTCGGCCACTGACGGGAACCTCACGAGGCTCCATTAAGACCTTTCTGGGCCCTAAGTATTTTCATCTGCGAAACTGAGAGTTTGAACTAGATTATCACCCAGATCCTTTTCAGTGTCTAATTCCTACAATTCTAAGATCCTATATTTGGTTAGTCTCTCTAAAAACTTTTTATGGATGTCTAATTTTTGGGTTGACAAAACTCTGAGCACCTGCGTTTGGAAAACTGTGTTTGAAGGTATGGGCAGCTCTCAGGGAAATGAGATTTCGGTAGCACAGCTTTCAGCCTGGCCACTGGTTCCTGAGCCTGCAGATGCGTTTCCTATAGTGTAGCAATGCCAAGAGACGCAGATTTTATTTCCTAAAGGCCTATTTTTAATTTATTTGTCAAACACCAGCTTTTGCACCTCACCCCCATGGAATTCACACATTCTTAAAAAGAAGGTGTGCAACTTGAGTCAAGTTTTTCCCTGCTTTGTGGAAGTTTATTAAATTATAGATTTTTTTAGTTTGAAAAAAATTGTCAGACCACCTGCCAGAATTTTTAAGGAGCAATGCGTTTTTGCAAGTAAATTGGCGTTGAATTAATTCAGACAATATTTATATAGGCAAACAGTTTAGATGATAGTGATGATTAACAACAATAAGCTATTTCAAGTACTCTCTACCTGTTCAGCTATGCTAACTGCTTTGTAAGCATTGATTGGCTTAATATTCACAAAACTTCCCCCAGATAGGATAGCCACACCATCATAAATGAAAGAATGGAGCCTTAGAAAGTTAAGCAACTTACCCACAGAGCAGAGTTAAGAAAATGTGGATTCAAGATTTATATCCAGTTTGCTCCATTTTTTGTGTTTATTCATAAAACAGACACATCTGGATGCCTACTCTTCTCACGACGCAGTACACAGTGTGTGACTTCAGATACAGAGTCCCAAAGCCAGTGTCCTACTCTAGCTTTCTGCTGCCTATGAGAATCCAAAGTGGTGACTGGACAAGTGTTTTCCTCTCATTATATGGCAACACCTTGATGACATTGGCAGAGTATTTAGGTGGAGGGTTCAATTTAGTACAAGCAGCACCTGTGAGCAAAGCTCTGCAGTAAGTGCGTGCTGTGAGCACAACAAAATCAGTAGGATGCCCCTGTTCTCAACAAGCATCAAGGAGGTTTGAGAAAACAAGACCAGCCCTGGCTGGCTTGCCTCAGTGGATCGAGTGCCGGCCTGTGAACCAAAACATCACAGGTTCAATTCCCA